AAACAATGAAAGGGGTTCCCAGTATGTATTTAAAATAATAATAATAATAAAACCTAAGATTTTGACATTTTTAGTGGGCAATGTTTAAATTAAAAGCTACTTAATAAAAAAGAAAAAGAAAAACTGCCTTACCAGGAAGTTGGTAACCAACAAGCTAGTTACATTGCAGTTTCCTTTTGGAGGCTGTAATGCGGTTATAAACATAACATTTTTTGTGCTGCCAGTTCCGGTTCTTAACGATTTCAGGTTCAGCCTTTAAACACTTCTCGCAGTCCATTTTTCCTGGTACAATGTGAGATGAGATGAACTTCATCATCTGTCATTAACCTCTGTCTTCTGTCAGGGACTTTTCTTCTTCTGTGTGGGTTTGCCTTCAAATAGAGAGAAAAGATCACAACATTGAAGTGAATTCCAAACTAAAGCTCTCACCCTTTTCAGTAATGGACCAGGTTCCTCAATCAAAGTGAAAATATTTGCTCTTTACGTAAACTTACATTGTCACTCAAACATCAATTAGCAAACTGTCTTTTGAACTTGCACGCTGTGTAATCACTTACATTGTCCATATCAAAAAACAGCCCAGAGCTATCTCATCGGAAAGCCTAATTAGTCACATTTACCATGAAGTATAAAACAAACATCAATGGAATGAACAACAGAGCCAATTTTCCCAGCAATATTCTTCTGTTTGAATTCACCCTGCCATCCTTTCCGGCTGCGGAGTTTCAGAGGTCACTACAACTTCTGATTTTCTTCTATAAATTGTGACACCCAATATGGAAAGTAATAACCTGCATAGAACTCTGCTGTTCAGTGAACAGCAAAGGCTGCACTGTTATAAATGTGGTATTCAGAGCTTACACAAGATAATTACGTTTCAATGCAAAATTACATACGTGTGCCCACTATTACAATCATTTTTATTTCAGGCATTGTTATTTTTCATATAAATTTGTGGAAAGCGTTTAAAGTTTAAAGCTTATACATGGTTTTAATACATTTCTAAATGCATTTCTGTGTTACAGTCAAAGTGATTTATTTTTTTTGCTGTCTTAAATTTGATTATTAAAGTTTTTAAAAAAGTAATATTAAAAACTTGTCTAGTTGTCAATCAAACCCAATCACACAAATCATTTTGTGAGCTGGTATCTTGCTCCACCCCTATTTTTTTCCATTATATTTATGGCAACCACTATTTACTGCAAGAGTAATGGCCTTAGCTGATTCAACCATTTTTGTTTTTTCAATTGATACTAAAGCTAAGTGCAGTTAAGCAGCTTCTATGCTATACATTTGACTGTTAAACTGATTATACCTTTATAAACAAAGGGCAGGTGGTTGGTATAAGAGCCAATTATTCCTAATGTTTACATTATCAGAATAATATATTTCAATATAATCTTTTCTTGGAGAGAAAAAAAAAGAAAAAAACACAGGAGATAGTGTATTTTATTTCAGAACACAATGAATTAGTTATGTGTGTTTCTTTCACATCATACAAGTGCATTTAAAAAACAACCAACCTGGAGAGGAAGACTTCTTAGCGCAAACTCCTGATGGCATCTGATAATCTGATGATGGTGGCTTGTGCCTCTTGTGTTATCAGAAAAAAACTATTTCAAAGTAAAGTTTCCTTTCTGTCTTGGCAACCTCTGTTTTCACATATCTTAACATAAAACAGGTTTTGTGGGGACATTCCTTTACACAATCTTTCAGTTTCTCATGGGGACCAGACTACCACAGTCTGACTTTCAAAACAGTTATGACCTCGACACTTTTACACACTTCAAATTTTAGTGTGATGTGGGAACATCATGAGAGTCCAGAATAAATGATGATTAAATAAGAGTTTGATCTAATTTATATATGGCATTTGCTGGAAATACATTGCCAACACTAACATTATTTATTGGTTTTGTTGACTTGTTTTGTCACACTAACTCTATCATCAAAACTGTGGTCTTTCTTCATTGAAGCTTCTTACAAATGGAGAGAGAAATTCAAACACATTTAAAAAGACATAAGTAAAATGCATATATCTCTTTGAGAGTGTTGCTTGGATTCTTGTCATTATCATCCATCTGACTCAGAGGTGGAGAAGAGGGATGGGCGTCATCTAAAGAATGATACAGTTTCTGAATATGCTCAATCTGATGTAAATTATGGACAAAACAATAGGGAAAATAAACTATTGTGTTGACAGAATATCCCTGGAATGAAACACATAAAACCAATTTCTGATATAAAACTTCAAATCAAATTTCATCGTTCCTATTCCTTCCTACCCAGCCAAGCTCTGCCTGCCTTCACACATCTCGAATCAAACAGGCTTTGTGGGGACATTTCTGTAAACAATAATTCACTTCCTCATGGGGACCATACCAAACATTTTACACAGTTTTTCCTCACACACTTGGTGAAAGTGTGGTGTGGGGACACCGTGAGTGTCCAGTACAGACTGATAACTAAACTAGAGAAAAATGCCTGTGACAAATTAAATCTGCCTGAAATACTTTGCTAACACGCACATTCTGAATGCATAATGAGAAATTGCCAGCTGTGCTAATGCGCAATAGTTTATCGTGAAAACTAATGTCCATCGTCATAAATGTTCATATATAGAGAGTACAAAATAACATGAATAAGTGATGTTATGAATATACCTGTTGGCTGTCACTGGGACCAGCAGCATCAAACGTCTGATTCACAGACAGGAAAGGACAAGAGCCATCTAAAGCCACACCACTCACTGTAGGGCTGGTCATCTGTAATACATTTAGAAAAAAAAAAAAAGTTTTAGATTGATATTTAAGAAACCAATAGACAATCTCACTTCATAAGATATAACAAGAGTCAAGAACTACGCAAACAGACTCTCCTAGAGAACATGCATGCCAGCATGCACAAAGCATCTGAAAAAACAACTTCATAGTAAAGTTTTGTTTCTGTCTTGGCAACCTCTGTTTTCACACATTTTAACATAAAACAGGTTTTGTGGGGACATTCCTTTACACAATCTTTCAGTTTCTCATGGGGACCAGACTACCACAGTCTGACTTTCAAAAGAGTTATGACCTCAACACTTTTACACACTTCACATTTTAGTGTGATGTGGGGACATTATGAGAGTCCAGAATAAATGATGATTAAATAAGAGTTTGATCTAATTTATATATGGCATTTGCTGGAAATACATTGCCAACACTAACATTATTTATTGATTTTGTTGACTCAAAACTGTGGTCTTTCTTCATTGAAGCTTCTTACAAATGGAGAGAGAAATTCAAACACATTTAAAAAGACATAAGTAAAATGCATATACCTCTTTGAGAGTGTTGCTTGGATTCTTGTCATTATCATCCATCTGACTCAGAGGTGGAGAAGAGGGATGGGCGTCATCTAAAGTCATGTCATGAGCTGTGGTGCTGGTCATCTATAAACACATTGAAGAATGATACAGTTTTTGAATATGATCAATCTGATGTAAATTATGGACAAAACAATAGGGAAAATAAACTATTGTGTTGACAGAATATCCCTGGAATGAAACACATAAAACCAATTTCTGATATAAAAGTTCAAATTAAATTTAATCGTTCCTATTCCTTCCTACCCAGCCAAGCTCTGCCTGCCTTCACACATCTCGAATCAAACAGGCAGTTTCTGAATATGCTCAATCTGATGTAAATTATGGACAAAACAATAGGGATGCCAGGCTTCCCTTTGCATCTGGGAGAAAACGCCACTGATTAGAATCACTCTGCTCCTGCACTACCTTACCAAAGCAATTAGTTCATTTTTCATTAACTCCTTCATAATTAAATGCAATCATAATGTGAAAATACAGCAAAAATATGTAGTTGTCAATTAGTTTCTGTAATGATTTGAACTAATCTGCTAAGACTAGGACAAAGAAATCAAGAGAAGTCCTTTCGTTTCTATACAGTAACTGAATTACATGTTCCTATACTACATATTATACTAGATACTGAATCTAGCGAAACATTATGTTGCAATCAGTCTTTGTGAGAAATTTTAGCTAACACAATTTTATGGTCAAATATGAGTTATAGTGAATAAAAATATTTATGCTTAAAATGTAATCCTTTACTTTACATAAGCTCCTTATACTGAGTTGCATGCAATTCTACTGTGAAATAAAATCAAAATACAAGGCTACACTTAACTCAATACTTTAAGATGATTTGCAAAATAATTACCTAAGCTAAATTAATTGTTTATTCATGCAAAACTGTTTACCTTGTGTTCTAATTTTGCTCCCACTTCTTTTGCTGCCATCTTCTTGGCATCTTCTGATGACTCCTTAAATTACCACCTGTTACACCCTTTCGCTGTGAAAATCCATCCATTCGGGGACCAGGAAGTGGGCGGAGAGTATACAAATGTGTGTGTGAAGCAGTGATTGCAATACCAGCTAAAACCATGTGGGGGAGCTACTGAGCACAATTTACACATACACAGTGATCAAAAAGCATGCTTTTTGGGCCATTGCTAAAAACTGCATTGGAACATTCAGAGCAGCTCATGTATTGCTTTTTAACTGTTTTCCTCATGGGGACCTGATTTTGGGTCCCCATACCGCATACGGTCCCCATGAGGTGACTGTGTATACATTTTTTCGTCCCCATAAATATATGAAAACCAGTGCGCGCACACACACACACACACACACACACACACATACATACAGACAGACAGACAGACACACACACAAAAACAGGTACACACCGTTTCTCTCTGTGATACCGTTGTTTCTTTTCCTTTTGTCAAATGTCGTGAAGCTTCTCCAGGTAAACGTCAGAGCATTAAAGTCTGCACCTGTCTCCTCCCCCTTACACCTGTCTCCTCCCCCTTACACCTGTCCCCTCCCCTTACACCTGTCCCCTCCCCCTACACCTCCCTCCTCCTCTCTCCTTCACTCCCTCACCTCCTGATTCTTTGGCTTCTCTCTTGCATCTATCTCTCCTCCCTCTAACCCTCTACTGTCTCCCCCTCTCCCCCCCGCTAACCCTTTCCTGTCTCCCCCTCTCTAACCCTCTACTGTCTCCCCCCCCCCCTCTAACCCTCTCCTGTCTCCCCCTCTGTCTCCTTCAGCCAAAGAGGGGGTGAGGAAGAACAGACAGAGCCGGACGTTTCTGGTGGAGAACGTGATCGGAGAGCTTTGGTCAGAGCTGCAGGAAGGTACTGCTTTTCACAGGGTGGCAGGGGAACAGGGACTGACCATTGCTTATCACAGGGTGGCAGGGGAACAAGGACTGACCATTGCTTATCACAGGGTGGCAGGGGAACAGGGACTGACCATTGCTTATCAAAGGGTGGCAGGGGAACAGGGACTGACCATTGCTTATCACAGGGTGGCAGGGGAACAGGGACTGACCATTGCTTATCACAGGGTGGCAGGGGAACAGGGACTGATCATTGCTTTTCACAGGGTGGCAGGGGAACAGGGACTGACCATTGCTTATCACAGGGTGGTTGGGGAACAAGGACTGACCAGTGCTTATCATAGGTTGGTTGGGGAACAAGGACTGACCATTGCTTATCATAGGTTGGTTGGGGAACAAGGACTGACCAGTGCTTATCATAGGTTGGTTGGGGAACAAGGACTGACCATTGCTTATCATAGGTTGGTTGGGGAACAAGGACTGACCATTGCTTATCATAGGTTGGTTGGGGAACAAGGACTGACCATTGCTTATCACAGGGTGGCAGAGGAACAGACAGCTCTCCAGGTTCAGACCAGGGTTAGTCCTCTCACTGAAGGTCTTCCCTCCCCTTGCTTACCTTCTTCTCCTTCAGCTGCCAAATACTTTTTTCACATCAGCAAACAAGTTTTCTGATCACCATTTAGCCAGCAGGCGTCCTCATCATCAGACCAGGTTCAGACCAGGTTTCAGACCAGGTTCAGACCAGGGTTTGGGCCTCAGCCTCTGAAGGGTGTTGTGTTGCAGGGGATCGGTACGTGGTGGTGGACTGTGGAGGAGGAACCGTGGACCTCACTGTTCATCAGATCCGTCTCCCAGAAGGACACCTGAAGGAGCTCTACAAGGCTTCAGGTCAGAAACTCAGATGTTAAAGCTCAGGTACCTGACTTTCAGACCACATACAATGGGAACTCTGTAATAAAATGTTAAGAAAGTTTTTTGTGGCTTATTCTATTTTAAGTTGTTTGCACGGAAAGCCAAAGCATTATTGCATTTTGGGCATTCTTCTTTGACCGTTTATTCTGTCTGAGACTAAACTTACGTCCCTGAGCTTTAACCCTGTGTTCTGTAAACTCATGTCCCTGTGTTCCGTCCCTGTGCTCCCCTGCAGGAGGCCCGTATGGATCCATCGGTGTGGACTATGAGTTTGAGAAGCTGCTGTGTCAGATTTTTGGTCAGGACTTTGTGGATCAGTTCAAAGTGAAGCGTCCGGCGGCGTGGGTCGACCTCATGATCGCCTTCGAGTCTCGTAAACGCGCCGCAGCTCCGACTCGCTCCAACCCCCTCAACATCAGCCTCCCCTTCTCCTTCATCGACTACTACAAGAAGTTCAGAGGTCACAGTGTGGAGCACGCCCTGCGCAAGAGCAAGTAAGACACAGGCGTAAGCACAGGTGTCAGGTCTCTGTCCTGAAGCCCCCTCACGGTCCTCTTCATTCTGTGCTCTGTAATGTGCGTCTAAAGCGATCATTAAGAAGTGATCTGACTCATAACGATCCCCTCCTTCCCCCTGCCCCTCCCCCTCCTCCCCCTCCTCCCCCCTGGACTCGTAAAGCAGATTAATGGTGAAACTGGAGCCTCTCTGTCTCTGCTCAGGATCGATAGCAGACTCAGAGCTGCTCCTCAGTTTGTGACCAGAGAGGACTGCGTGTGAGTTTCTGCTTCAGTGAGGGAGCAGCGACTGCAGTCAGAGCTCTAGACTGTGAGGACAGAGTGACTGGACGCTCCCGATACAGAGGAACAACGAAGAATGGATTTTGTGGTTAAAAGAAACATGAAACACTAACCCCCCCTCTCCCCTGTCTCCCTCTGTCTCCGCCCCTCTCCCCTGGTCCTTCCTCACCCCTGTCTTCCTTTATGCCTCCTCCCCCCTGTCTCCTCCTCTCCTCCTCTCCCCCTTCCTCACCCTTAGTGTGGACTTTGTGAAGTGGTCGTCTCAGGGGATGCTGAGGATGAGTCCAGACGCCATGAACGCTCTGTTCAAACCCACCATCGACCACATCATCCAACACCTGGGTAAGAATTACTGCTACTACTACTACTACTTCTACTACTTCTACTACTCTCTCTCTCTCTGGTCTTTGGTTTCTGTTCTGGGCTTTGGTCTGATCTCTGCTCCACTTTGCTGCATTTATATTTCAGTCTGTGGTATTTTTAGACCACGTCAGAGACCGAAATAAACTCTCATTTGTTCTCCACAGTGAGGCCCAAAGCTGGTCCTGGTATCTCTCTCCTTCATTGTCTCTCTCTGGTCTCTTTTCTGGTTTCTCGTGTCTCTCTCATTTATGGTCTGGTCTCTTTTTGGTTTCTCTGGTCTATCTCCTTCATGGTCTCTCTCTGGTCTATCCCTGGTCTCCCTCTGGTCTCTTTTCTGGTCTCTTGGGTCTCTCTCCTTCATGGTCTCTCTCTGGTCTATCTCTGGTCTCCCTCTGGTCTCTTTTCTGGTCTCTTGGGTCTCTCTCCTTCATGGTCTCTCTCTCTCTCTCCTCAGAGGAGCTCTTCTCTCGCCCTGAGGTCTCTGAGATAAAGTTCTTGTTCCTGGTTGGAGGATTTGCTGAGTCGCCGCTGCTTCAGGCTGCGGTGCAGGATCTACTGAGGGGGCGGAGCCAGAGCCGTGTGATCATCCCTCATGACGTGGGGCTGACCATCCTGAAGGGGGCGGTGCTGTTCGGCCTAGACCCCAGCGTGATCCGCGTGCGGCGCTCGCCGCTGACGTTTGGCGTGGGCGTTCTGAACCGCTGGGTGGAGGGGAAGCACCCGGCGGAGAAGCTGCTAGTGAAGGAGGGCACGCGCTGGTGCACCGACGTGTTTGACACCTACATCCGCGCCGAGCAGTCGGTGGCGCTGGGCGAGACGGTGACGCGCAGCTACACGCCCGCCAAGCTGGCACAGCAGCTCATCGTGATCCACGTGTACTGTGCCGACAGCGAGAACGTCGCTTTCATCAGTGACCGTGGCGTGCGCAAGTGCGGAACGCTGCGACTCGACCTCAGCGGCAGCAGCTGCACCGCCGCACGCCGCGAGATCCAGACTCTGCTGCAATTCGGAGACACCGAGATCCGAGCCACCGCTTTGGACGTGGCCAGCGGCCGCAGCGTCCGGGCCACCATCGACTTCTTAAGCAACTGAGGGATGCCACCCAGTCAGCTCTGGGGAGGGGAGGGGCGAGCCTCATGGGGGAGGGGGGAGGGGGGAGCACCAGGGGAGGGAGGGGCAAGGTCTCTTACAGGTATTTAGGGAGAATGTAACTGGTGTATCTCTTCTCTATTCAACTCTTCTCTGCTCCATTACACTATAGTATCTGGTTCCGTATCCTAGCAACCCCCCCACAACAAACCGAGTAGAGTAGAGTAGAGTAGAGAAAAGGAGAGTAGAGCAGAGCTAGCTGCTGAGTCTGGTTCTCTGTGTTCTGGTGGTTGCTAAGAGGAGGTGAAAGTACAGGACTTTAATAACAGCAGAGTGATCCTGGGCCTTTCTCACAGAGAGATGAGACTTTTGACAAAATCCTCATAAATACCTCTAAGTGACACCCGTACGAGTAACACACGTTTACTGGTCTCAGTTAGTACTGTTGAAAAGTGTTGTTCTGTATTATAGAGTAGAGGGAACATGACTCTGACGCCCTGTGCTCTTCTTCCTGGAGTTCAACTCGTAGCAAAACTTCACTTTTGATTTTGAGGGTTTATTTTGCGTATTTTGTGATAAACAAATGAGTATAAATATATATCCATCCATCCATCCATTTTCTACCCTTTTAATCCATTTCTGGGTCAGGGGGGTGACAGTCAGAGATGCCACCCGAGTCTCATAGCACCAGCCCCTCACTGACCCTCTGCAGGTGGTGAGTCCACAGGAGGACGGCTGCTCTCTGAGTGAGAGCATAGCCTTGATCTATATATAAATATATATACTGTTCATAAATGTCCAGTATACATACAGAAATATGAATATATATATACTGTACATACTGTATATGCTAATGATAAGAACTGTCTTCACGAGGCTGTATCTTTTATTGGCTTTTAGCTTTTGGCAAAACCTGCAGCACGAGTCTCCGGCGCCGCTTCACTAATGTTTATAAAAAGCTGAAACGAGCTGCAAAAGTGAACGAACCTTCAACCTCAGAATCATGTTTTATTTAGTCACAAATGTCTGTTTTTGGAGCCTTCTGTTTGTACAAAATCCGATCATTTTCTGTTGTTTATTCATCTGTCTGTGGAGGAACATATCAAGCTGTAGAATCATATTTAAATGTACAGATTTTTAGCGTGTGACTGTTAACACGCTAGCTTGAGCTGTGACTGTTTGTGCGCTAGCATTAGCACGTGAATTTGAGCAAGTTAGCATTAGCACGTGACTGTTAGCGTGTTAGCATTTGCACGTGTCTGTTAGCGCGTTAGCTTAAGCACATAGCAGTTGCGGTGACTTTGAGCTTCTGTTATAGCATCACCAGCGTTGGCTTAGTTTCATGATCACATTATCCTAGAGCAGGAGTGAGTCGTGTTTATTTATATAGATAGTTTCTTTATTGATCGCCGTCGTAGGAGAAGTTCAGGCGTCCAGCAGCAGAAAACTCTGTTGTACGGTCTGACAGCGGAAGGAACAAAAGATCTCTTACGGTCGGTTCGGCAGCGCAGTGATATCAGATTCAGGATCAGTTTTTTCTTCTTCACAATATCACACATTTACTCATACATTGAGTTTGTATCAATTTTTTGTGACACTGAGAAAAAGAAATGGGGTCCAACACAAAGTCAAACAGAAACAGATGTGAAA